AGGAGTAAACTTCTGGTTACGGAGCTGGAGGCCATCATCCTAAGCAAATTAAAGCAGGAACAGAAAACCAAATACTGCATGTTCCCAAAGATAAGTGGGAACTAAACATGGAGACACATGTACATAAACATGGGAGCAACGAGCACTGCGGGCTAGTAGAGGGGAAGGAGGAATGGAAGGGGATGTGGGTTGAAAAACCACCTAGTGGGTACTATGCTCCCTACCCGGGTGCAATATATCCAGGTAACAAACCCATACATGTACCCCCGTATCTAAAATAAAAGCTGAAATGAAACAAATCCCTTAGAACCAGAGCTTATACATTTTTCAATAAACCAAATTTTATAATATGCCATGTTTTGAAAGATTCACCTTTTGATCTCTCCTTTGAAGAAAATCTCTCATTTTATGGTTTATTATCCATGAGAACTGATACTCCAAGGAGGCCAATAGATAAGGGCCTCTCTGGAAGGAAAAATTCACCTGTTAAGTGTGTGGGGTTTAATGCATCTCCAGTCCCCCAAGACTGTTCCTGTCATAGCATAAATAATATCCAGCCCAGTCAGTTGGTCAGTCCATCTGTCAGTCAGCTGTACTCCCTGCCATCAGCTCTTTAAGACAATTTCATTCCTCCAAACTCACCCAGTGCCTGCTCTTTTTGTTAAAGAGCAATGTTTATATATAGAAGTAGATGTAGGTTAAATCGGAAAGGTAGAGGAGGCAATGATTGGAATATTGGGTCAGAAAAAGTGAACTTCCTTGTGTGTGCTTGTGTGCGTGTGTGTGTGTGTGAGAGAGAGTGAGAGGAAACAGACACGTACACACAGACACAACACAGGGACACATATATGCACACACAGCCCGGTAGGAACAGAAAATCTTCCATGTGAGCAGGGACAATGCATTAGAGAGTCAGTTCACTGGTGAGAAGGAGATCAGGGATGCGAGAGGGGTAAGGGAAGCAAGGAAGGGAGCTGAGGATGGAAAACCCTGTTCCTGGCTCTGGTGTCTTTGTGTCAGCTTTAGAAGCAGTTGGTTCATCATTTCAGCAGCCTGGAGTCCTTTAGTAATGACTTCATGGACTAAAATTTAAAACCAAATTAAATGTGTTTACAAAACAGCACCCACACTGAATTGATAACGAGCTGCCAAAGTTGGGCTTGTAATGATCTGGGTCCCGATCTCTGACAGGCTGCATGCGCTGCCGGGGGTCCTGGTGCTGTTCTTGGGGGTAAAACTGCAGCCATCCTTTCTCCTGTGTCATTCTCCCCCTGCCTAAGTGCAGCACTTTTAGGTGATACGCTGCTGGGCACGAGTCATGCATTTATTTATAGATACATATTTGCTGGTTTTGAGAGTAGTAACTCTGTTAGAAATTTGTTAGCTTTTTTTGGTTTGTTTTAAGATTTTTCTTTTTAGGTTTCCTTATGCAGTACATCCATTCTGGATGAAACCATGTTTTGAGAATACTAAGTATGAAATCTTGTAATTACTTATGATTTTTGATGGTGTGTACTTTGAGAGTGAAACGTTTTCAGGGATGATTGGTCCCCCTGCCTCCTTCCCTTGCAGCTCCTTCGTTTCTAAACACCTTGTTATTTCAGAGAGGGGGAATCTTTCATTCCGATTTTATGGAACAGAATGAAGTATTTTTCTAGTCATATTTTGTTTTTAGAACAAGAACTGCTCTTTCAAGTTGTTAATCAGTGTAAAGGAAAGGAGGCATCAAAGGGAATGCTGCTGTGTCCTTTCTAAAGGGAGCAAAATGTTCTTCTTGTAATGAAGTATATTGATAGATTTATTTCTATCGTCCATGAAGATAATTAGGACTCAATAAATATGAAATCAATCAGCAAATAACCTCTTCCTACCCTTGAGGAACTTAGGATCTACTGAAACAAGATGAATGGCATGCATCTTTATCTTTTTAACAACCCTTTGCCTTCCATTTATGGGAAACAGACTCTTAAGAATTCCCATCCAGGGATCCTGAAGAGGTTTGGCCTGTTATCTACTTAAAATCATGTATAAGCCAATGAGAAGATGCTTTAGAGTTACTACCTGAGCAGCAATATTGCATGTGAAACCGCTCCCTTAAAAAAGAGTTAATTTCTAAAAATAGCACCAGAACTGAAGAGTGCATGGCTGGTGGTGATGGCTGAGTGGTCGGCAGTGTGTCTGCAGGGTAAGGAGAGGGGAGGGAGTACCCTGGGATAAGACTGTGTCTCCTGTTAATCACAAGACGTAAAACCACAATTCAATTACATGGGATTCCATGCTAATATTCCTCTTGTCAATGGCTTTTCTGTTTCAGAAGGCAGCAGAATCCCACTGTAGAGTCAATGTGTGCCTAAAGCCTGATTAACTGTATTGTGGTGCTCATGGAATATTTAGTCTCTGGATATTATTTATGTTGACTCAGGAGCAGTCTTGGGGGAATGGAGATGCATTAAACCCCACACACTTGACAGATGATCTTTTCCTTCCAGAGAGGCCCTGTGTTGCTGTCTGGGCTCTGGTGGCCCCGGGGAAGCTCCTGGCTTCTTCCTGACCTCCAGTAAACCTGTTCTTCCTGCTTACCATGCATTAGAAACAAAATGTACTTGTTTGAATCGATATTGGGCATTAAGCAGCTTCTGGGCTTCATGTCAGGGTCTCTGGTAGAAGAGGTTATCCTCTGTTTGCACTGGGGTTTGGGTAGCAGGAAATTTAAGATGAAATAGGCTAGAAGTTTAATCCTTGGATGCATTTAATCTTGTGACTGTTAGTTGGCTCTCAAGTTTTCACAAAGTGCCTTAGTCAACAGGAGGGAAGGTGATGTCCTCAGTTAACATTTCATCTTTTCCTACTGCTCTGCCTCTTTTTACCTTGCCCCTTCCACCTGGAATGTGCTTCCCTTCCCTCGAGATGCCCAATCTCAGCTCATTCTTCAAGAGACAGCAAAAATGCCACATTGGTCTTCCTTGGTGCCTTCCTTCATTAATTCTGGAACAACCCACCTCCCCCACACACAAAAAATCATACCCAGGAAGCATCAAGCATCATAGTATTAAAAGGTGGTAGACTTTTTTGGACTAGAACGGTGTGAGTTTACCTGGTAGACCTTACAGTTAGTAGGTGTGTTCACCTGCTAAGGTTACCCACCCACTTTTAGCTTTGCTTTGCCTTAACTGTAAAATGGGGATGGAACACTAGGGTTTTCAGGAGAGTTAAATGATGTATTAGTCTTTTTTCATGCTGTTAATAAGACATACCTAATATTGACTAATTTATCAAGAAAAAGAGGTTTAATAGACTCACAGTTCCATGTGGCTGGGAAAGCCTCACCATTATGGCAGACACGGCTGCATGTCTTATGTGGTGGCAGGCAAGAAAGAGAGAGAGCCAAGAGAAAGGGGAAACCCCTTATAAAACCATCAGCTCTCGTGAGACTTATTCACTGCCATGAGAACGGTGTGGGGAAACTGCCTCCATGAGTCAATTATCTCCCACTGGGTCCCTCCCACAACATGTGGGAATTATGGGAGCTATAGTTCACAATGAGATTGGGTGGGGTCACAGCCAAACCATATCAAATGATGTCACCAGTACAGGGCCTGGAGGCGAATCCTCAATAGATGTTATTCCTTTGATTTTTCCTAGTTCATTCAGCTAACTGTAATTCTTAATCTTTCTGGGGCCATGGATCTGTTTGAGAATCTGATGAGAACTATGGTTTCTTTTCTCAGAAAAAAACATATGTAAATACATTAAAAAATTTTCAGACATTTCCAGGAACTTCCCTATAGTCCAAACAAGAATCCATTAGGGGTGGTTTTGATCCCTAAAGGGTTAACCACCCTACTTCCCTCCAATAGCCATTTTATGCAAAGCACCTGAAAAGGGACCTTCCATTTAGGAGGGGCTGAATGAATACTAGTTAATCTACCAGTTTCTAAATGGCAATCAGAATCACCCCATGCCTGGAGAAAATCTCGCTCTAATTTTTCCTTATATTTAGTTTTGAGAAGCTGTCATGTGCAAGTGACAGAAATACCTCTGAGCAGAGAGTCCAGTCCTTGACTGACATGTCTTCCAGCTGGCCTGCCATACCTTGTTTGAACAAATTTGGCCTTTTCAAAAAAATTTTCCCTTTCTTGTCGGACTCTACCCTGAAGTCCTGTGTGTGCTGCTCCCCAGCCAGGAGACGTGTTCTGCTGACATCTCTCTCTCCTCTCCCTGTATGATGGAATTTATAGAAATTATTCTTTGGTTGGTCCCAGTGTCTGTATTTTGGCAGGCCTCCCTGTCTTCCATGTGATAACCGCTTTGCAGACAGTGCAGCTGAGGTTCTGCCGAAGACTAATGTCACCCTTTGTCAGATGCTGTCTGGGTCCAGGGGTCACCAACACCTGCCCCTCCCCTCCTCACGTCTGCTGGTGCAGGTTCCCTCTGCACTATATTTAAAAGCACACAATACCGTGTGGGGCTGGCTGTGATCCAGTTCATTTGAAGAAAGTTAGCAGTGAACCTGGGTAATTCAGGCACCTCGGAATGTTTTTTATGGCCCGCACTACCTGGATTGGTTTGTCTGACTGTGTACTGCAAGTAAATGAACCGGATAATCGCCGTATTTCTATTCCACTGCGTGCTGTGTGGCCTGCGCCTCTGGAAACAAAAGTTTTCTCTAAAACAGTCACTTCTCAAGAACAATGATGCCCCCTGGGGGTGAATATCTTGTCAATGTGTGCCAAAGTATGACTAAACAAATTGGCTCAAAAAGTAGCTTTTCCCCATTTGACTTTCATTTGATAGTTTTATCGAAGATCAATGAGGACAACAAAAACCTCTAAAAACAAAAACCAAACCAAAGTTTTCTCCCCACTTCCCGTAAGTCCTTCTTATTGATGGACTCCAAGCCAACAGTATGTTTCAGGCTTTATTTAGTTATTCTATGGCTGCATTTTATTTTACTTTAATAAAAATGTAAAATTTGTATATACTTGTGTGTACACGTGTAGGTTTCTGACATGCGTCTGTTGCCTAGTGGTGAAGTCCGGGCTTTTCGTGTACCCATCGCCTGAACAGTGAACATTGTGTTCATTACTCAATGGGTAAGCTTTCACCCTCACTCCTTTCCACCCTCCTACCTTTTGTAGCCTCCAGTGTGTCATATTCCACTCTGTGTACCCATTGCGTATTCATTCTTATAAGTGGGATCATACAGTACTTTACTCTGTTTCTGAGTTATTACACTTAGAATAATGGCTTCCGGTTCCAGCCATGCTGCTACAAAAGACATGATTTCCATCTTTTTTATGGCTGAGTAATATCGCATAGTATATGTTTTCTTTATCCAGGCCTCTGTTGATGGACACTCACGGTGATCCCGTCTTTGCTGTTGTGAATAGTGCTGCAATCAACATACGAATGCAGGTATCCTTTTGATGTAATGATTTCTTCCCTTTGGATATATCCCCAGTAGTAGAATTACTGGATCAATTGGTAGTTCTATTTTTAGTTCTTTGAGAAATCTTCTTTAGGTCTTTATGGCTGCACTTCAGGCATCTGCATTGGTGAGTTTAAAGACGCTGTGGAGCACTGCTTTTTCAAACTTTAATGTGCATTCAGATTAACTGGTGATCTTTTTAAAATGCAGATTCTGATTCTGTGGGTTTGGGGTGGGGCTTGAGAATCTGCATTTCTAGCCAGCTCCCAGGTGATGCCATTATTGCTAGTTCATGGGCAAATCTTAGAGAAGTGAGACTATCGCCTTCTTCTGTGAGATACATGCACACAACCATCAAGCCTGTCCCAACACATGCCAGCCTATGCGACCTCTTTAGGTTCTCTACTTGGCTTGCTGTTTGTCATACCCAATTCTGTTTTCTTACAGCAAATCTTAGTGAAAAGGCTCTGGTCTTGAGAGAAGAGCAGTCAAATTTGAATGAAATCAAGCAGGATATACCTAGACACAAAATATTATCCATAGACACGTTGTTACCTGCCAGCCCTCATTGCCTTCTCACTAGTTATTTAAACTTCTAAGTAGAAAATTGTTCATTACTTAAATTTAGAATAGTCTAGAAAAGTACAACAAATGTTAATTTCCAAAGTCTTGAGTACCTGAGATAGTAATTTTTGGAGCTTTAGTTCAAGACAAGAACATCTCTGCGCATATCTATTCATCCTTTTTGTCACTCCTATTAAATGTCATTCCCTTGTGTTTGTTTGATTTATGTTTCTTAGAAAACCACCTGAACTGTTTTCTGCAATGAATTGGGTGTATATTAACAAATTATTTATGTAAACATTTATTCCTTCAACACTGAGTGCGCACTATGTGTAAAAAATTGTGGTAGTGACTTTGCTTCCAAGTTAATAAAGCAAGCCAAGTTAATAAAACTCTGTGGGTTTTCACTTCACATCTGAATAATGAAGGGCTGGACTGGATGATCCTGAGCTCTCTGAGAGTGTGTCATTCTAAGAACTGGGAGAAGCTGAAGTAGTAACATTCTGCCTGTTGTCGCTTTTTATTCTACAACACAAAAGCTTTTTTTAGCTTTTTCTCTTTCACGGGAAGCAGAGAAGGCACACATCTTTCCGTGTGTGTATTTGATGGCCACGGGGCGATAAGGAGGAAGGAATGCTTCCCTATGGTAACCTGGCTTTCTTTTCTTGAGTGGAAGAGTATTCCTATTAGAAAAAATCCTACACAGTATTTCTATATTCCTATATGTAAAAGCTAGCCCATCCTGTGGGCCTTCCCTTTGCCTCCTGAGGTGGTTCCAGAGAGACCCTAGATCTCTGTGGAAGTCAGATGGAAAGCCACTGCCCTTAAGTAAGTTCTCTAAGAGACAGACTCCAAGCCACTCCATGCTGTCTTTATGTAAATAGTGCTGGGGGTGGGAAATCTAATTTAGGAAGTCAATATTTCAGGGTGTGGAAATCTGAGTATGTCTAGGGACCTGAGGAATGAGGAGTACAGAGGGGCCATTTCCTTTTGAGGATAGTAAGGGAAATAGGAAGGGCCTGGCACCTGTGCACAAAGCTGAATAGAGCAGGCCTTTAATGCCTCACGGTTCTTCCTGTGCAAGGGATGGATTTATTTTCATAATGGAGAGGCTGACACCTGGGCTGGGCTTGAAACAAGAATGAGGGGTGGGGAGAGAGAGGGAGAGAAGGAGAAGGAGAAGGAGAAAGAGAGAGAGAAGGCAGTGAGAAAGAGAGAGAGAAAAGGAGAGAGAGAGAGAGGTGGGGAGAGGAGAGAGAAAGAGAGAGAGAGAATGAGAGAAATGCATCCAGTCTTTACTCTCTGGGTCTGGTGGGCAGGAAATGAAGCGGAGCTGCTGGGAGCCCATGATTGATGGTGCGGAGGGGCCTCTCCTGTCCTTGTACTGCATCGGTTCCGTTCACATTGGGTTGGCTTTGGAAGTTCCAATCTACAAACCACAGGGGCTGGGTAAAGTCTCTAAATCAAGTATTTCTGTCTTTACTGTCTTTGGTGTCTGTGAAATGCTTAAGCACTGAGTGAAAAGAGGAGTCCTAGTTTTTACTTAAGCCAGTGGAGCATAAGCCCTGTTACGGCCTTTAGGCAAATCGCTTCTTACTTTATATATATTTATATACACTCCCTCCCCCTCCCCCTTTCCTTACAGTATGACTAAAAGTGAAGTGTTCCTTTTCTGTTGTTGTGAAGGCTGCTGTCTAGTTGGGTTGCTTCTGTAAGAAGAACAGTCAGTGTCATTAATTTTTTCTCTGTACTGTGTGGGCTGGGAACATGAAACCGACTTGATTGATCACATTGCCACTTCAAAACGGGAGGCTTCAGAGGCAGGTGGGTGAGTAGGTTGGTGAAATACTTCAGAGAGTTAATGCATTTGTGTAGTTATCATCAGTACCACCCTTTGGTAGATGGATGACAGTTTGGATCAGCTTGAGTGTGAGGGGCTAGGGTAAAAATCAAGATGGAAAGAGAGAAGTGAGGTTAAACTAAAGGGAGAAAATGACTCTGCCTCAGCCCCACTAAAGCTGTGATTATGACTTAGACTGTGGGTGTTTCCTATAAAGGCAGATTGGTGCATGACTGGAGGGTTAGTCAGGGTGGGAACGGAGCTGGAAATCATGTCTTATAAGGAAGTGATCACAGAGCAAGCCTCTTTAATGGCAAAAGATAAATTTCTGCTTTTGTGAGTGTCCTGTTTATTGCATCAGTTCTTGAAAGGCTTGTTGCAGTGAAGAGATTTGGGATTCTGTGTGGCTTCCAAGGAAGAATTGGAGTCTATTTTGGCTCCATTGAAGGAGAACTATTTAAACTGAAAGGGCAGCTTCTTGTAAGAGTGAACTTCTCCTCAGGCCCTGGTTCAAGCCAATGCTTTAAGGAAGATACATGGACTGGGATGTATTTGGCCTGGACGACCTCTAGAGGCCTTTAGAAGACTGTTAGACAAAGATTCCATGACATTTCATAAATGTCCTCCCCATCTCCCATAACAACTCAAGGATAATTTCTGGCCTTGCTGAAACTATATTTCCTACACTGGACAGAATCTAGTTTCCTGTAGAAATGGAATTATAATACAATAGCCTGTTTTCCCTTTAAGAAATGAGAAAATTGGTTGGATGTGGTGGCTCATGCCTGTAATGCCAGCACTTTGGGAGGCCGAGGTAAGCAGATCACCAGAGGTCAGGAGTTCGAGACCGCCCTGGCCAACATGGTGAAACCCCATCTCTACTAAAAAGACACAAATTAGCCAGGCATGGTGATGTGTACTTGTACTTCCAGCTGCCTGGGAGGCTGAGTCAGGAGAATCACTTGAACCAAGGAGGCAGAGGTTGCAGTGAACTGAGATCGTGCCACTGTACTTCAGCCTGGGAAACAGAGAAAGACCTGTCTCATACAAAACAAAACAAAACAAAACTGCACACACACACACACACACACACACACACACATGCGAAATAAGAAAATTGAAAATCTTAGCTTTGTGTACTTGTAATATAGGAGAAAGAACAAAGAACCCAGAATATAGAGTGAGGCCCTAGCTCAAACATTTATTTGCTGTGCAATACTGGGCAAAGCCTCAGTTTTTAAATTAATAAAATGGGCCTAATCTTATTACCCTTACAAGGTTGTTATAATCATTAACTGAGATAATATATGTGCCTGAGACAGGGCCTGGTACAGAGTAGTCACTCAATAAGTGGTGGTTATCCTCTTAATCTCCCAGACAATTAAAAAGAATACAGTCGGATATCTCTTTCCCAGAGAATAATAGAAAACCGGATAGAACAAGAGAAGCCCAGGCATTACCCAGCCGAGCTCTGGCAATGCCCAGCTGGATACCTCACTGTCTACTGGGAGGTGGCAGCATTTGGTAGAAGTGGTTCTAGTCAGTGGAAATTACAGCTCTGCTCAGCAAGGGTGGCAGTACGAGTGGGACAGGCAGTTTGCCACAGAAACAATAGTGATGCCTGGCAGATGCTAGTGGATAGCAGCACAGACTTCCCTGGGAGAAATTTCAACATCCACTTAACAAATATTTGCTGGTTACCCACCATGTGCCAGGTAATGGCAATGCAGTGCCAGGGGGACACAAATGGTGGGCAAAACTCATCATGGTCTCTACTTTGTGAAAGTGTTCAGATACTGGGGCTTGCATGAGCAGACAGAAGCAAAACATGAATAGAATTAAGCCATTTTTTAAAAAAAAACATAAGCTCATCTCATTCCACAGTCTAATGAGATTTGGAAGTAGGATGCCGTGTATTATAAGGTTTGCAGACATGCTCAAGCTTAGATTTTAGCCCCGAGGTTTGCAAAGGATTGTTCCATATCTAAACACCTCTCTTACCTTTATTTTAAAAATTAATCGACAAAATTATATGTTTGTCATGTATAACATATTGTTTTGAAATATGTATACATTGTGGAAGGGCTAAACCAAGCTCATTACCATATGCATTACCTCAAATACTTATATTTTGTAGTGAGAACACTTAAACTCTACTCTTAGCAATTTTCAGGAATACAATAAATTATTGTTAACTGTAGTCAACATCTGGTACCATAGATCTCTTGAACTTATTCTTCCTAACTGAAATTTTGTATTATTTGACTACCATCTTCCCCAAACCCTGGTACTGACTATTCTACTCTGCTCCTATGAGTTTAACTCATTTAGATTCCAGGTATAAGTGAGATCATGTAGTATTTGTCTTTGTGTGCCTGGTTTAGTTGACTTAACATAACGTCCTCCAGGTTCATCCATATTGTCACAAATAATAGAATTTTCTTCTTTTTAAAGGCTGAATAGTATTGTGTATATATCCCATTATGTTTATACTGTGTATATATCCCTGGTTTTCTTTATCCCTTCATTTCTTGATGGACACCTAGGATGATTCCATATCTTGGCTATTGTGAATAGTGCTGCAGTGAAGCTGGGAGTGCAGGTTATCTCTTTGACATACCGATTTCATTTCCTTTGGATACATACTCAGTAGTGGGATTGCTGCATTATATTGCAGTTCTATTTTTAATCTCACATGAACACCTTTCTGCAGGCAAATGCTATACCACTGAGCCGTGTGTGCCCCCTCTCACCTGAACTCTGTTCTAAGATAACAGGCCATAGGTGGCTTAGCCTTTTCACTTAGGGTGAATGTGGTCGGGGATCCAAGACCCAGAGAAGGGATGGATGAATGGGTGGAGTGGAGAGGTACTGGATGCCTGTCTGAGGGTGGTTCCGACTAGAATTTGGATCTTCTTTTGTGGCTCTGCTTGCCTCAGAGCACTGTTAGTGTGTGTGTATGTTTTCCCTCTGCTTCTTTTTAGGCTTAAGCTAGCTATTCCATCATTTCCTGGAGTTTAGTGTTTGTCCAACTCCAATAATGTATACACAAATGTACTGGAAATCTTGCTAAAATGCAGACACTGATTTGCCATTCTGTGGAGGGGCCTGGGAGTCTGCATTGCTAACAAGCTCCCAGGTGATACTGAAGCAGCTGGTCTGTGGACTACACTTGGAGTGGAGAGGTTTTAGTCCATGAGAACACTTCCTGCAGAAAGCCTCTGGAGCCATTTCTAGTTTGGTGATGACTTTGGAGCTCTGCCTGCCTGTGCATTTGCCAGGATTGAAGGAGAGTGTTTCCTTATCATTTTTTTTTCTAAAGCCTATTATTTATGAATACTACATATTTTTTTTCTCCAAAGATGAGGTCTACCTGCACTCCATAAAGCCCATATTTGGACTTCTTATGTCAATACATAACTTTTCTCAGAGTGGTGCTAACACTGCTGGTGGTGAAGCCCTAAGTACAAACCTGTTTTAGGAAAGGAATACATCTTGTTAGAGGGAGCTGAGCTACTTACAAGGCAGATAACGTTCTGCAGCTTGCTGAATTGATGGAGAGAGGCACCGGGATTCAGACTCACCTATTTTTCATTCTTTGAATGAAGTCTATCTTCTGAATTACATGAGCCATGTGAAGCAGGGAAAAAGAGCAATGGTTTTGGAAACAAAAACAGAGTTCTTATCTTTTAATACAGAAGAGAATGCCTCAGGATATTATTATTTGTGATTTATGGGGTGCATAGCAATATGGCCAGTGTCTCGCCACAGCAGACACAGGGCTCTGACCCTCTGCCTTTGATGAACTCCTGTAACTTCCCAGGGGCAATTTTCCACCGTAGAATAGCTGCTGCATCACAAAATTCTGGCTTAAAAAAACATAGTGAATGAGTTACTAGGAAACCTGGTTTCTATTTCCAGTCCTACCACTGACTTATTCTATGACTTTGTCCAAATTCATTCCGTCTTTTCACCTACTAGTAAGTTAGGTTAATCATACTTGCTATGAATATTTGCCTGTGAGATATCTTGAGATATGTTTATTAGCTAAATATCTGTGAAAACTAAACTTTCTTCCTGAAGATATATCAGATTTCACTGACAAGATCAAACTATGTAAATGAATACAATCAACGAAACCAACAAAACAATGAAGAT